AGCCGCGGCTCCCGGCTCCAGCCGGCCGGTGCAGCGACCGAAACACTAACTTCTCAGAATTTGCTACTTTGGGTGCACTGAGCATGCGCACCCGAACTGAGCAAACTCAGTATCCCTCGCTGTTATACACCGGCTGGCTACTAAAGGCTCCAGGCTGCACCTTGAACTCTCTGTCCGGAGGAAAAGGGCGCAGGCGCCATGTGGTATTGGCATCTCCCTTGGCATTGCCCTTGGAACACGGGCCATGGGGGGGAGGGGTTGGGCCCAGCCCTGAGAATGGGGAACGGGGCGGTTTCAACACAGACCGGGTCTGGCTCAGCCCCAGCTAGTCCCAGGGGCTCCCCGTTCTCAGTGCGCCCTGCCCAGAGCTCTGACCTGCTCCATTTCTGATCCAGTCCCCCTCTCCCCGGTTCTCAAACTTCCCAGCAGTGACCGTGTCGAGGCCGAACGTGGCCCAGCAGGGTCCCCCCGAACTGTGGATGCCTCAAACCTCAGCCTCCAGCAACGCTTGAAAAAGAAGCGCCAGCCTGTGTGTGTGCGGCTGGGGCAGGTCTCCTCTCCCCCCAGTGCGCCCAGTTTGACCGATGGGAATGGAGCCCCCGAAACACCCGGGGTCCTATATGGAGGGACAAGGGATCCCCCGCCCCTTGGATCATGTGCGGGGAGCGGCATTAGCTCAGCTCCCTGGTGCCCTCTCTGGCCAGCGCCTCACTCCGCAGAGCTTGAAGCTGGAGCCTTGAGCCCACAAACCCAGCCGGGCCGTGAGGTGGGTGCTTGTGATCCCAGCGCCCGGTGAGGCCGGTGGATCGCTTGAGCTCAAGAGTTCTGGACTGTTCAGAGGCGCTATCCCACTACTGAGAGACACGGGAGCTTTGACCTGCTCCATTCCCGACCTGGGCCGGTTCGCCCCTCCTTAGGCAACCTGGGGACCCCTGGATCCTCCGAGACCCCGTCAATGTCTCCCTCAGCGCGGACACCTGCTCAGCGCAGCCTCCTACAGCCCAGGACTCCTGAGCTCAAGCGATGTGCCGGTGCAGCGAGCCTCCCCAGACACTGGGATCACAAGTACCCACCACGGGGCCCGACTGGGTTTCCCTTCTCTCGCTTGCACCTTCACACTCCGGTGCCCCGCTCTGTGCTTGCGCAACCGGCCCCTGGAGCCCAGCTGATTCGCCACAATGTTATTTGCATCACAGCGAGGTGACAACACCGGACATGGGTCCTAGGGCCCAGCCCCGGTCCGGAGAATGGGGTGCGGGGCTGCGTGAAAAGACGTCGGGTCTGGCTCGGGTGCTGCCAGTCACGGGCGCACCCCGCTCTCCACCTGCTCCATTGCTGACCTGGCCCCCCTCGCCCTTGGCCCCCCGGGAATCCACCGCAAATCACTACATCGATCTAGACAGCAGCTCAGCCCGACAGCGGACAGCCCCGGGACTGTGGGCACGGGGGGGTCTGGGCCGCCTCAAGCAGGCAGGGGCCTCCCAGCTCCCCCTGTAAGCGCCGCTTGTCAGTTCTAAGCGTTGGCCACACGGTGCAAGACCCGACCGGGAGATCCCCGGGGCTGAGCCCCGTGCGCCGCGGGACACAGACTCACACCGAGGCCCATGTGGAGCCCGGAGGCCTTAGACAGAGCGAAGCGTTTCAGCCCGCGGGAGGCTACTCGGGCCCCGGGGGCAGGGAACAAGGTGCCACCAGGGCAATGGCGGGAGCGGGGTCGGTGACACGTGCCCAGAGGATCCCACCTGGCGATCCGCTCCCTGCCACAGGGCCGGGGGTCCCTGCTCCGCCTCCCTTAGTGATACCGGGTACGCGGGTACCCCCAGCCACCGGGGTAAGATCCCTGCGTGTGGTGGCCCTTGGAGCCCATGGGGCTATCCCACCCCCTTAAGGGTCTGTTGCTGCTGCCCCAGTAGGGCTGTCCCAAGGAAGCAGACAGAGGTTCGTGCTTTCACCCGGTCCCCACTCAGGATCCGTGGGTTATCGCTGCCCCTTCGCCCCGTGCGGGTGCCTCTTCCGCCCAGACATGATCTCTGGCGGGTCGGGACCCCTCGGTGCGTCTGGTGTGCGGATGTTTGTGTTGCCTGGAGCCCCGCTGCCTCCCTCTCCCGCCTCTCTGGATACTTCTGGATCCCCATCATGGGGGTGCTCCCATCCCCCACAGGTGTTAGCAAGTGGCCAATGCCAAGGTGGGAGCCGATGGGAAGGTTCCCGGGGCTCACAGCAGAGCCAAGGCAGGTGCAGACGACACGCTGAGGACTAGCCCCTCTACAGCCACAGGAGCTGGGGGGGGGGGCAAAAAATTTTTTGCTTGGGGTAGCAAAAAACCTAGAGCCGGCCCTGCCTCCTTGCTGCCCCCAGCTTGTCTGTTCAGCTCAGTTTGAACATTTCTTCTTACATAAAAGGCCTGGGGGTGGGAACCGTGTTCCTGGCAGAGAGACGCTGTCCCGTGGCTCAGTGTTGGCAAGTGGCCAATGCCAAGGTGGGAGCCGATGGGAAGGTTCCCGGGGCTCAGAGCAGAGCCAAGGCAGGTGCAGACAACACGCTGAGGACTAGAGACTCTAC